TGAAGCAGCCTGGCCAAGGAGAAGACCTGTCTTGGCAAGTCCCTTGGCTTGTCCAGCTAGCACAAAGTGTGAGCACAATCCAGACCTTGTAACTTGACTACTTCCCATCCAGACAAGTCCAACGTATTCCTGATGCCCTTTGGAAAAATTGCTCCATGGAGGGATGTTGGGTCTCCATCCCCCTCCAACTCCATGCACAACAGCCAAGGTCCAAGCAGGTGAAGGTCTATGTGCAGCAGAGCCTCCACAACAAAGGAGATAAATTCAGATGAATTATGCCCCCAAAAGGCTCCTTTCCTCAAATTTCCAGCATCAGGGCCCAGTCAATGTGCACAAGCTTAGCCTTGCTAGCTAGGTCTGCCCTCACCATGCAGGCTGAGCTTTCCAGGGAACATCGCACCGGACGCCGTGCCAGCCTGGCTGTTCGCTATCGATGAGATAATGTCTCTTAAATCTGGACACGGAGGCGCTCGGCTCCGTTCGGCCGCATTCCGCCTTTGGGACAGAAATGACCGGGAGAAATATGAGAGGTTAGTGACATTTCTTGGCTTGGGAAGCACGGGCCTGTTGCGGAGAGGAACGCGACCAAAAAGAGGCATCGCCGGGGCTTATTTTCAAACCTTTGGGGTGTGATAGGCTTTACTATTCGCTTTTCTAACACAGCTTTTGAGTAGTTTTCCTCAAGATGGGCGAGCTGAGAGATGGTGTAACGAGAGCAACGAGAGCACGGCTCGTAGATACCTGGCGCTTCCCACGAAGCTGAGGCCTCTAATCCAGCGCCCAAGGCCTTTCCCGGCGGCGAGGGGCTTCTCCTCCCCGCCGTTTCTCTGCCCTTATCGCTCCCACCGGCCCGCGGGCCAGAATTAAAAGACATAATGACGGGCGCTGCAAGGCGAGGGGGAGGAAAACCCAAAAGAGCAGGCCCCTTGTTGGAGCGCGGGCTTCGCCGGGCTCTCCCCGCCGAGATGGAGAGGCCCTTTCACCCCAGCAACGAGGAGGCTGAGGGGGGATATGCGAGACGGGCCGGGCCGCGGCGGTTGCTGAGGAGACCGGCCCGAGCCGCCTCAACCTCACGGCTTCTTCCTACGGCTCCTTCAGCCCAAAGAGCGCCTTTCATATGGCCTTTTGTCCTCCGCCGCCTCCCGGCGGTTTTTCATTACCCCTATCCTCTTAAAAAGCATTTGGGGGCCGGGAGGGGGACCAAGGAGGGGACGCCCGGGCCCGCACGAAGAGAAAGAAGAGGCCACGGGGCCTGGAGTTGTGGGGCGCACGCGGGGGGCGCGCCGCGGTTCACATCCCGTTTCATTACCCGCCAGCTGGGCGAGCAGGGAACTTTTGCCCCCAAACAACAGGTTCCCAACCAGAGAGGGCTAAACGCATTTAGTTATTGCCCTGAAAGCAATTTCGCTACTTTCCATCCTTTTTTCTTTAAACTTATCGAGTGCTCTGTCTTCGTTGTGGTGAAACACACGAGTGGTGTGAAGCGAATTGACATCCCCAGGCTATTGCAGGTCCTGAGGATGGGAAATCTTGGATAGCATCACCCACCTACTTCTGCAAGATCTGAAGGTGCTAAATCAAAGCTACGAGCCCTTGAATACAGGACTTAGAAAGGACACGCTTGTTCTTTGCTCATAAAAAGAAGCGAGCTCTCCACTTATCCCTTTACAAGGTGGGTAAAGGATAATGAATATACAAATGAATGCAAGGAAGGCTCAGATAAAGTCTTCTAGACCTCTATAACCTCAGACAAGGGATGCAAGCACTTGCTGTTAAACACACCCTTAATTCCCATCGCTTTTTCTTTATTTACTCCTCGATTTTCATGCGTCTTCATTTCCTACAAACTGGCTCCTGCCAATGAGTGATCACAAATTGCAGCCCGTTCCTCTTGGTGGAAAGGTCAGAAACGGAGGCCAAGGAGAAAGGCAGCAGCAGACACCGAGACAGAAAGCGAGTCCTCATAAAGATCTGGCTGGGAGGCTCCCTGAGAAAATGTCACGTTGGGGAGGCTCTAATAGCTTTAATCTGTGGTACAAGGGGATTAAAGGACTCATTCTCCCAGGACAAAAAAGAGAAAGGAGCAGAGCGGAAGGTGCAGAACAAGAGGGGAAAAAAGGAAGGCTGCAAGAGGAGGAAAGGGGAGAGCTAAAGAGCTCAACTCTAAAGAGCTCAACTCTAAAGAGCATCAGTATTTAAAGGGCTCCGTCTTCAAGCATAATAAACGTGAAGTGGCTTTCGCCCACGGCCTCGCTGCTGCTTTTTCATACTCAGCAGACACACTCCAGCCCTCTTCAACAGGGGCAACTCGTTATGTTTGGCTCTGTTGGTTTGCAGGGGCTAAAGAAGTGGGAGGGGGAAGCAGAAGGTTAATGAGGCTCTGCAGATGCGGCAGTCAGCAGAAGTGGTCAGTGTTATTTTTTAATAGTGGTTTATGGGCTTTGATCCTCACCCCTGCTGGCCCTGGGTGCCGCAGATGCCCTTGTCCTCGAGGGCCACGGAGCAGGTGAGAGGCCTGGGAACAGGAAGGAAGGATGCTGGAGTGCTCGAGTGCTCCTCGAAACAGCCTTTTCAGCGAGGCCAGGAGATGGAGAGTGCAGCCTTGAGAGGGTAAGGAAGGAAGACGGCCTTAAATACTCCTTAAAGGAGAAAAAGAAAAGAAAAAACCCAACGCACCAATTGTGGAGGATGGGAAGGCCAAGGAGCCACCAACGTGGACGAGGGAACTGTGCTCTTAAAAGGGAAACCGGATCCTCAAAGCCCAAGTCTTGCTCAGGGATCACAAGATTCCAGGTTTCTCCCATTAACACATCCACCAACACACACAAAAAAGAAATGAGTGGGTTTCTAGCCTGTCTGCTATGCGCTGAATAAGACTATAGCATTTGCTGTAATTATTTGGTACCTCCTTTTTCTCAGCTCAACAGGCTTGCAAGTCAGAATAGATGCTCCAGGACATCATCAGGCACAGATAAGGCAGGTTTCTCTTGACTCTTTTAGCAGCTTGGCCTAGCATTAGGAGTCTGGCTAGTCTTTGCACTCAAGGAAAAATATATATTTAATTGTAACAAAATAAGCAAATTCCAAGACAGGAATTAAAGTATTATATATCCAATGGAGACAGGGAGCAGCATTAAGATAGGAAGAATACAATTACCTGAACTGGAATGTAGCCAGGATAACAGCATTAATTTATTTCAAGAAAGGCTCAAGTGCCAAACCCTGGATTTTATATTTAAGCCTGAAATACAGCAAGTTGCAACATCCCGATTTGATTCTTGCAAAGCTTTCTGAGTAAAAGAGGGGCCATAACGAGCACGTTCATCCTCATTGAGGAAGCCTGATGCTCTACTACAAGGTACGTGTCAGTCAGACAACACCTACACACAGAGTACAGCCTAAATGCCATCCCTGTCCCCCAATGCGCCTGCAGAACTACAACCACCTTCAGTCCCAAGCAAGTTCTCGAGTGCACTCTGCTTCGACCTGGTATCAATTATGCACTGTTCTGCGGAGATAAATGCTTAATCCTCCGGCTGTTGACACTGGAAAGGGACCAATCTACCCCAGGGTGGACAGTACAGAGGGGAACTTGGCTTCGGCTACGATCCCTGCATCATATGCTCTACAAATGCTCACCGACTTGTAGGTAATGGGTTTCATAGGGTGCTCAGGATCTTTCTGTGGCAGAACTAAGCTAAAATAACACATGACCCAAGCATTCGTTGTATCAAGTTCTTCCTCCTCCATTGTTTTTCCCCCTCAACATGATATTTCAACTTTCATATGGAATTTTCTCCTTTTGAGACATCCTCTCCCATTTCCTTGTAGCTTACCAGCTTTCCTCCTGCAGGCTTGATATCAAGGTGGACTTCCTACAAGGCAGAGCTCAAGAAATGTGCAGACAGGTCTGCACAACCACGACAACCACAGAATCAGAGGATCCTATCTGGGTGCTTCCAGCTCTCCAAATTGCTCTTCTGGTTCCACCTCCCTGGAAATCCTACATCAAGAAGTTGGCTTGTCAGGGAGAGAAACGCAAAGCTGATGGCACCAGAGAGGGGAGAACTGTTCCTTTCTGAACAAACTGCCAATCTGGGCTCTGAGTTACACCATAAACATGGATTTTCTAATCCATTTTCACTAATGATAAAAAACTACCCCTGTTTCCCACCCATACCACTACTTTGGAGCCTGTCCCCTACATTGGTTTGCTCCTCGTTGACCACAAAACACGTTCTCAGGACAGCAGTGCCTCGATGGAAATTTGAATGGCATTTTAGGTTTTTTAGGGTATTTTTTTGTGGGTTATCTCACCAAAGCTATAATAAGCAGAGGAAAGAAACTTTTAGCCCACCTGAACACAGAAGTTTGCCACTGTTGTGCTTAACTTCATCTGAAAACACAGGAAGGAACTGACATTAAGAAAAAAAATAATTTATTTTAATGGGTTTTGTACTCCTTAACAACAAGATACAGAGAGGGGCTACTTGTTCCTATGCTGTTCCTAGGCTGCTTGTTCTCAGCTGTGATAATGGCCTAAGATCCACAGAGAAGAAAACAAGCGATTAAAGTCTAGCCAGCAAGAGCATGAGAAAGGGCTCCGGGAATCCTGCTTTTGTTTTCCTTGCCTTAAGGAAAGAAAAAAAAAAAGGGGATTCTGGAGATTAAAACCCCAAAGATCTCAACCCAAACCGCTGGGGTCCGCGGCGGACTCGGAGCGCGTGCGCTTTGTAAACTCCCTTCATCTCCCCGTCCCGGCTCCTCCAACATAAACCCAGTGTCCCTTGGCCACGTGAGCAAGTGCTGGCAGATGCTTCCAGCCTGCAAAACGCCGGTGTCGAGGCCCTGCTTGCATGAAGGGTGCAGAAAGCCTGGTAGGAGTGCGAGCCATCAGTGCAGCATTCCAGGGATGTCTTGAGCTCTGCTCCTTGGAGCTGTCTGGTGGAAATCACAAATTATTTCCATCGGGAGGAATGGAGATGGGGTCATTTGCATAACAGCAGACGTCAAGGTTAAAGGTGGGGGGTATCAGAGCCTTCCTGGAGAAGGAGAAGAGGAAGTTCATGCTATATCCAGTGTCCCTAAGGCCTGGCTTACACCTCTGACCTTGTGATGTATTAAGGATAAGCCACAAGAAAATAGGAGCAAAAAAGAGGGCGAAGCCACACTCCACATCAATGTTGGGCCTATGGACACACTCCTTGGCCATCTGGGATTAGCCCATACAAAACATTCTCCAGTGCTTGGCCTAACGTGCTCTTTGCTACTCAACCTACAAGCTCTCCCCTCTACCAAGCTGGAGGCAAGACTACTGTCAGAAGGGTCTCACTTGGTCCTGGAGCCTCAAAAGCAGCTGTGGTCCTGTGCACTTCTCTCTTGCAGGGTCTTCTGAGGTGCCTTCACCCATGGCAAGTGCCAGGAAGCAGGGAACAAAGTCCAGTGCTGGCCAGTTTGGTGATTCGTATCCTGGAAGGAATAAAAGCAGAGCTCTTGGCGTGTCCCTCCTTGTCCATCTGCTCTGCAACATATTTGACACCTGGGCAAGGTAAGCTTGGAAAACCACTGAAATCTTGGATGTCCTTGGATGTCAGAGAGTTCTGTTTTCCAGATCACAGTTTACCCGATTTGCCTCCCTCTGTTTAGGCAGTAAAACGTGCCAGAAAAACATACTGGTGTGGGAGGCAGCTCCCCTGCATCCCCAAGGCAGGACAGCAGCTTTGTCTCCTGCATCTCTCTGGCTTTTCCAAGGAGTTGGGTAGAGGGATGGGTTCCTGACTGACTTCAGGCTCAGCGTCATGCTCCTTTTCCTCCTCACTTTCTTTCTGGTAGAATAGGCACACGGGACACAAAGCTGCTCCAAAGGAGGTTTGTGGCCAGCCCACAGGTCCTTCCCAGACGAGGCTGGTATCTTCCATCCAGGCTCTCCATCACATCCACAATGGGACAGACATACGGCAGAAAAACACCTCCAGCCACTGACACAGGCTTTAATCTGTGGCAAAAGAGAAGCCTGGAAGAAGCCTCATTTAGCATGGGAGAAATTCTTCACTAGACACTCCCAGGCAGGTTCAGCAAAGGCTGAAAAGAGGGACCAACCATCCTAGGCCTGTGGCTTCTTCTCTCCTTGGCTGCTGACCATGGCAGCCTGGTTAATGTGGTGACATTCCTGCTTTTTCCGGGCTGCTAGAGGCAGACGGGGCAGCAGCTGCTGTCTCGGGCTCGTCATTGGAGTCCTTCAGAACCAAGAACTCCAGCAGAATGTCCAAGAGGCAGAAAACCAGGTGCCTGAAAGGGAGAGAAGAGAAAGCTCAGGGTGGCCGGGGTGCAGCAGACAAAAGGTCTCATATCCTCATATCCTAGCACACAGGCTCTATCACGCTAAGGAGGCTCTAATTAGAAGTACCTGTTAATGATGGGCTGGCCAAGTGACTCCAGGACCAGATTCCAGCTTAGGCGACATTTACTCGTTCCCAGGATTTCTTGGATCACATCTGTTAACAAGAGAGAGAAACCTTTAGGAACAGCACGCGTCCACTGTAGTAAAACAAGGTCAAGCTTCCCCCGGCGGGGGCTAAATAGATGTTTATGATGGTACTTTCAGGCCAAGCTACCTTGTCCCCATCACCGTGACATGAGAGAACAGCCGGGCACAGAAGTGCACACAAAAGCAGAAGCCTGGAAGGGGCTCCAGAAGCAGCACTTTTTCCTCCCAAAAGGAATAATAAGGGCCCCTTACGCGAGGAGGTAAAGTTCAAACAGGGATTAGGCAGCAGCCGTTTCAATGCCAAAGGTCCCCGTGTCAAAGTCGAGCAGGGGGGACCCGAAGAGCCGGGCTAATGATTTCAGGCGGAGGCAAAAGCCTCTCTCATCTTCACAGGCAGCAGCCAAAGGCTCTGCCCTCCCGCTCGGCACAGCCGGGCGCTTTTGGCAGCGTGTGAAAGCACAGCTGGGCCCTGACTTGCTAATCCTGCCTTGTCAGGGCATGGAGGGCTCCCCAGGCTCAGCTTAGGAGGCTCTGGGACACTCACCAGGCAGGAGTCCCATCAAGCTCTGCAGGGCCTGCTCTGCTGCTTCTTTCTTCTGCTCCTGGCTCCTTGGTGGTTTAGGCACCACCGGTAAAACTCCTCCGGGCCAGATGGATTCCTGCAGCAGCTGGAGGTACTGGACCCAGCGCTGGGTGCAGGTCAGATTGATCACCTGGATTTCCAGCCACCTGTGAGCAGGGAAAGACAGGGAGGCCAAAGTTGCAGCTGCTACCAGCTCAGGAGCTTTCCATCCATCAGAAGCTCTTTCCATCAGCTTGCTCTACATTAAATGTGCAAAAAGTTCAGCTACTTCATACTTGTAAATACATCAGAAGTAGAAGAATCCCTGTTTTACAAAGACACATTTGAAACCACAGAAGAAAACCAAGAGTCACCATAAGCCTCATCTCCCTGCTGCGCACTGGTACTCGAAGGACTAACTGGTCCCCAGAGGGAACCCACCTAAGACATCAAGGCTGGCCATGTCCCTTAAGTGACACAGTCCCAATGGCCACAAAGCCACAGTCACTTTTGCAGCAAAGGCCATTTGGTAGCCAAAATGCCCCACCAGGATGATGACAGGTCAACGGGTAGATCCCCAATGCCACCAAGGTCAACGGGAGGTTGGCTGTGGACATCAGGAGGACCGTGGCCACACGATGAAGGAGCTGGCCCAGCCTGGGGAATGGAGAACCTTGTAGGACCTCATTCCTCATCACCAGGAGGCTCCAGAGGAGCCTTGGAGATGTCGTAGGCTGAGTGAGCACGCTCGTGGTTCCACCAGAGCTCCAAGAGCCCCCGAGGAGTCGGCGAACGGGGTCAAACGGCCCGTTCCTCTGGCAGCCGGCGCCCGTGCTCGCAGTTCCCTCAGCCCTCCGCCCCGGCGGCCAAGAGCCGGGCCCTGCCAAGCCAAACTTTATTTAACCTGCGCTCTGCCAGACTGTCTGCATTCTTCTCGGGCTTCTTGGGCCCACGGGCTTCTTTCCTCCGCCGAGCGGGGCAGCACAAGCATCAGGAATAGAAACACCTACAAGGTGACCGAGGGCAGAAGGACATCGAGTTGCCAGCACGAAAGGACAGGGCTGCAACATTTTCCTTCACTAACCTGAAATGAGGTGCCCAACTTGAGGTTTTGAGGCACTTTCCAAAGTGAAAAGGCTAAACACAAGGCTTCACCTAGGGCTATCACACTAAATGTGCCTTCAAACTTATCATCTGACCAGCAGCCATTTACTGGGTCATGAACTAACTGGTAAGTTAGCCAATTACTTAGGTAATTGGTTGCAACAAAAAGCAAAAGGTTGCAAAAAGGAAAGAACATGTTGTTTTTTTTCTCAAAATGCTCCTAAAACAGTAAAGGTTTAAACAAGTAGTGCAAAGAGGGAGAGTTGGAGAGTTGAGCTTAGAGAGATGACAGTTGGATCATGAGAAGATGTCCAGTTAGATTTCTGGACAGTTCAGAAGAGAACTGAGAAGTGATGGATGCTGGAAGGTCCCTTACCAACAACTTACCCAATTTTAGCTCAGTTATTGTCATAAAGTCCCCAAAACTAGGCAACAAGGCCTAGAAGTAACACCTTTACACATACACACCAAGAGCAAAACAAAATAGATAAACTCTTGTGCTGTGACAACTGCAGCTGCAGTTTAAGGAGGGTAATAAGCTTTATTTTTTAATGGAAAAATCCTACCTGATTCAAACCCAGATTTCTATGGCAAATTGGCCTTCGACCTAAGTCTGCACCAGGGCTGGATCAGAAGGAACAGTTCACACTTCTTGCACAGGAACTTCCCACATGTCCAAGTCCAAAGATGACCTTCACCTGGTTCACAGATTGTGATTTTTTTGCAGCATTGAAGGACTAAGTGACTCAGACACATGTGGACGTCAAAAACACATATTCACAGCCCTCTATTCCCAGGTAAAAACAATTCCTATATGAAACATGAATAGAAATGGCTTTTTTTTTTTTGTCAGAAGGCCAATAAGTTGCTATTCCTACTCTGGCATTTCATGAAGAAAGCCTGAAATGAAAGAAAATAAACCCATCATTGAACTTTCTCCCTTCAATTCAAGCAGGGACCAGACAGGAACCGACCTCCTGGACTCAGAGGTTCAAATATCATGAGAACATCCAACACAGAGACGGATCGTGGAGGCTACAGGGCCCTGAACATCAGTCTGGAGGTGCATAACTTGCCCATGCCGTAAGGGTCTTCTGCTTGAAATAGCTGCTGCTGGGGGAATTAAAGAGCTGCTAAAAATGAGCTGATTTAATGCCACGGCTTAAGCCGGAACGCCAAGGTCAACTGAAGGGGCCCTATAAGAGTGGCAGAAGTGGCCTGGAAGTGAGAAACGAGGCCTGGGTGCTACGTACCTTGGCCTTCTTCTGCCACCTAAACACCTCGGGCTGCTAAGATGGGACTTGTTATGGTCAAGATGGGACTAGGAGTCCACGGTGGAAAAAAATCAGGTGTGTAGACCTGAGTTTACCTGGTTCCTGCAAGCTTTGGTAGACCAGGAGGATTCACCTGTACATGCAAAGAGTTGGAATGGAGAGGCAGATGTTTGTAAACATCTGCAGTTTGTAAATAACTACAGGAAACTGGTAAATCTCTGCTCTTCCTGGCCATGAAATTGAGGATGAGAATTGCCCAGGTCAGCTGCAAACAGGAATGGTTTGGTTAGCGTGAAAAATCACTATTGCTGATGGTGGTTAAGACCTGAAACGTGAACAATTATGGTTATCCCTGGTAAACTCCTGCTGGAGAAAGGAAACAAATAGAGAAAATAAAGGGAAAAACAACAACTAACGTCCTCCATAAATCAAGAACTATGAAGCATCCTTTTAGATGCCTGGCCAAAAATACACACGCAAAAAGTAAACTATCCTCTTGCCTTCCTGGAAATGTTCCTTTCCTGCTGCCCTATAAAACATTCACAACTGCAGAGGTTGTGGACGAGTCGTTCCGTACACTGAGCCCACGGCCATAAAGTGTTTGAGCAGCGAGGCTGCAGCCTCCAACCTGGTGAAACGCGGACGGTTTCACCCCAAAAAGTGAAAAATCTTGGGAATCCGAGTGCCTTTCCCCTGGTTCCTTGGATTCACGTGCGCCAGGATCACGCAGGGACACGATGGACAACAGCCTGCAGCTCTAAGACCTTTTCCCCTCCACAAGCGGCTCTGCTTCGGTTTCACTTCATCTCACTCTCCTTGCAGCACCGTGGGGCTCAGAGCAGGGGCAGAAAGCAAAAACCGGCCCCAAAAACACCGTTTTTTTCACCAAGCATCTCGATAACATCTTCATCAAGGGTTTATTGAGCCAACTAAGCTCTCAGCGGTGCCCCAGGGAGAGGCCGGGCTGTCTCAGCCAGGCCCTGCTCGGCGCAGATTGCTTCATTAGCCCTTCAAAATACATAAAAACACCATTAACCCTTCACGGGCCAAGCAAAACCCAAGCAAGGAGAGGAAATATCTCCTTTCAACCTTCTCCCTCTCCTTTCCTCTCTTGGAAAGAGGAAGTTCTTAAATCGTGGAAAAACGCTGGCACGCAGCTGATCTGCTGAAACAGAGTCAAAAGAAAGATAAAAGAAAAAAAAATGCAGTTAAAATGATGTTGAAATTGTTATCGAAGGCCTGAGCGCTCGCTCTGTTCTAGTGGCTGCTTTTGGAAGGCCGCTGCTTCTAGAAAAGGGGGAAAAATAATAAAATAAAATTGTTTGGGACAGAGATTCGAAGCGCGATCCAAAATTTCCAGGTGCTTGGAGACAACTGCATTGAGACCCATGTCCAAGCTGATTTTTATTTACTTTACACACACAGAGGCCTGAAAACCACTTTTGCTGACGTATCACAGGCCTGTGATTTCTGTTGCACTTAAAAATTGCAGATGGAGGTGGAGGAAAAACAATGAGCTGGGAGAGCACGTGGAAGATGCCACGAGAGGGTTGGTTTCATTGCCCGGAAATTTGGGTTTTTCAGCCCTTTTGGCACCTGGCCTGACACGAGGCTCCAGCAGAGCCCCCAGGCCAGGAGGACACCAAGGGGAGAGCACCAGCCTGGTGCCCCACGACACTATCCAAGCCACCTGCATGGACCAAGCAGGGGGACAGCGTCCCGAGGAGCCCTGGGGACACCGGCAGACTCCTGACCTAGTGACCAAGATGCCAGCGAGGCCACGGCCAGGGCACGGCTCCTATTTTTGGCACCCGATGGACTCACCAGCTCTAAAAAGCCCTCGGATTCTCCGGATGCTTTTGGCTCTCCTGCCCAAAAGCCCCAGAGCCCAGAAGAGCCCCCTGCAGCGCTCCCCGTCCTCCCCGGAGCAGGGATGGCTTTTCCTTCCCAACGCAAGGAAGACAGTCGGACAGCGGAGAGCTGAGCAGTCCGACTGTTTACAGGCGTGCGGAGAGGCTGCTGGAATTTCCTCCTGGCCTCCGGGATCACCCGCCGCTTCCAGCCCCTCCGCCTCCAAAAAAGGATCCCTGCCTGTTACATAACGCGGCCTCCCTTTTCCTCAGCGAGGCCTTTTTCGGGCATGCAGCCTTCGTCCCGCCGGCCTCCCTGCTGCCATCCAGCTGGAGCCTCACGCCCGGCTCCAGCTATTCCAGCCAAAAAAAAAAAAATCAGGAAGAGAAGAGCGGGACGGGATATTTCCTGCAAGGCTGGGAGGTCTCGCTCATCCGAAGGAGCTGGAAGAGGAGGCTCCAGCAACTGCCCCTTCCTAGCACCTGAAATACCCAAAATACTTGTGAGAGCAAAACACAGACAGAAGAAGTCATCCTTCTATGTGGCTCAGGTCCCACGGGAGGAGACAGGGCACCAACCAAGCAGGGACAGAGTCCCCCAGTCCTAGCACATCCAGGGATATCGACATCCCTGCTCCATCTGGGGTATTTTAGATTTACCCACAATCAGCCCATTTTATACCATAAATCCACCCGAAGCAGCGTCACCTTTGAATGAGGGTCCCAAAAAGCAGGTCCAAGACCTTCTGCATGTTGTCCGTGCAGAGCCAGCCCCAGTGATCGGCGAGGAGCAGGCGCAGCAGGTCCAGGGCCAGGTCAGCCAAAGCCGTCTCCGAGTCTGCCAGGAGGAAGAGGAGGGTCAGATGAGGACAGCAACTCAGAGCCTCGGGGAAACAACCCTAGAAGTGCTCGTTTTAATTCCTTCTTTCACCCAAATTGTCTCGTTCCTGCTACCAAGGGGCGCATCAGCCCAGAATGTGGCTGCTCCAAGCGCAGGTTTGCCTGGGTGTTGCCCAACTACACCCCAGCTCTGGGGCACAATCGGCACCAAGAGACAACTTGTACGACTGTCTGACACGGGTGAGCTCGGTCTTTCGGAGCCAAGTTTGTAGGAAAGGGATGGGGAGCACTGGAGTTTAGTTATGGGAACCCTGAGCTTGGGTTGGCGGGAGCGAGGGACAATATTTTATAAATAGGGACCGTCTATCCCAGCCCGTGCACACGGAGGGCAAAATCGGGAAGTTTTCCAGGCTCCGCTTGGTGTCCGCAGGCTGCCATCGTGTGGCAGGGCCACGGCTCAGCACGCGGACGGACGGACCACATCTGCACAGAGCAGATGCAGCAGCAAAGGGAGAATTCACACGTGCCAGCACGCGGCTGGCGACGCAGACCTAGGACAGGAAAACACCCCGCGGGGCCTCGGCTTTGCTCGTGTTCAAAAATAACCTTGTGGTTTTGCTAAGAGGCTGTAGCACCTCTGTGCTTCAGAGAGGGCTCCTACAGTCTGGAAGGGAGCATCAGTCCTTAAGCTGGGCCTACAGATTTGCCATTTCCCCCCAGTTTCTAGAAATCCAGTGCTGCAGGATTGGTGCTGGGGGCACCAAGGAGAAGATCTACAGTGCACAAGAGCTGGTGCTTCCATCAGCAGCAGCCCCGTGCCAGGCACTGGGGGAGAAGGGATGACCTGCAGGCTGAGCTCACCGTCCCCAGCGTCCGGACACGTCCCCTGCTGCCACGTGCCCGGCACGTCTGTCTCCTGGGGCACGCAGGACTCCTTGTCCTCGGGAGCAGCGTCCAGGAGCTTCTCCTGCTTCTGGATGAAGGACTCCATGGCAGCCAGCGACAGGGAGCCCGGGACCTGCAGAAGCAGCAGTGGTTTAGTGGCACCATCCCCTGGTTTGCACCTAGCCAAGAGCAGAGCAGCCACAACCTTTGTGCACCTGGATTACTCCAAGGCAGCATCAGGAGCACGAAAGGATAAATCAGGGATGTGAACTTACAGAGCTGCCCTCTCTCAGGGCGTACAGGATCCTGTCGTGAGCTTCACCCGTGCTCAGCACCGGCGTGATTTTACTGGATGGGAACCTCAGCCTGGACCTGAAGGGGAAAGACACAGCAGGGTTTGCTCCATACGCAAAAAGGATGAGGTTCTCGGCTGGATTGGATCCTTTTTAAGAAGGCAATTGCCCCCAAAACAACCATAAGTTGGTTATATAAAAGCACCACAATCAAAACTTAGCAGCCTCAACCACACGTTTCTGAACACTGGCCTTCCAGTCTCAGCGATTGTGAAACGCGGGTCTCAGGACACACAAACACACGCAGAGAGGGCGTTGGGGATTTGGGGACAAACTGGAAAGAAGGCTGTTTATCACTAAGGAATGTCCTTTCCAGCCAAGTCTCTTCAAAACTTGTACTTTTTTGGTTTGTCTTTTTCCCCCTCTTTTTTTTTCTCCTTTGTCCAAAGCAGTTATTTTTAGCAAAACATTACTTTTTTTCCTGGTAAAAGCCACGCTTATGCAGAAACCTTTCTCTTTTCTGGAAGGGAACAATCACCACTGAGCACAATGGGGTTGTCACCATGAACAACGCCAAATGTCAGGCGCTCGCAGAGCAACGTACAGGCAACGACCTCAACCACTACTCTTAAATATTCAAACATTTGCTGGGAAAAGTGACAGGCTACTGTCACCACACATGCAAAACACATGAGAAAAGCAGAAGTAACCCTCAGGTAGGCACCAATTAAAAACTAGCAGGGTAATTACATGTTTTTTTCATCTGAAACCTGCCCCAAAATAACGCTGGAGCCAGAAAATTGCCTGCAACAGCAGCAGCCCGATGCCATCAAACTTATAGCTGCGTTTTGCAGTGACTCACCACATATATAGGTCATGCGAGTGTTTAAGGCTAAAAACAACAATCCTCTAAGAGCCCCAGCACTTTTGTTGGCAAATGCCACCATCTCCCAGCTGCCTGGGAAGAAAAAAACCTGCAAGCAAGAAAAGCTTCAGGGCCAAACGCTGTTAAAAAAACAGAGCGTTCCTGGAAAATCTCTTATCTAAATAGGAGCTCAAGTCGCCTCACTTGGTTTTTAAGAGAGAAGGGAATATAGCAGAAGTGTGAGAGCAACGTGGTGTTTACCACGTGTAAAGAGCGAGGTCAGCGGTCCCATGGAGGAGCCCGTTTGTTTGCAAAGCGCACGTGCAAGTTTGGGATCAGCTCTTACTTGTTGGCCTTCTTCCCTTCTGCCTGGGGTTTCCCGTCCACTTCCGACTCGCTGAGATCCTCCGTGGGGCTCTGGGGCTCCGACCTGGGGAACGCTGTCTTCAGGGTGTCCACGATGGCGTTGACGACGATCTGCAAAGCCCAGCGGTGTCACCTTCCAGCCAGGACCATCACCAGCCTGGCATTCTACCACTTCACGTGGCCCTTTTCCACCCTCTACCACTTCATGTGGCCCTTTTCCACCCTCTACCACTTCACGTGCCCCTTTTTCCACCCCAAACCTCAAGCTCTGTGGCACAGGTTGGGACCCTCGCTGGCATCTGGGCACCCCTACCCAGCCTACCTTGTCTATCCTGGACACCACGAAGGGCTTCTTGACGAACGCAATCCTGGCGTCGGTGTTGAGGGCGAGGAACTCCTGCACCTCCTCGCTGGTTGCGATCTCGGGCACGGCGCACAGTTGCTGCAAGGCAACACGCAGCCCTGGGTGTTTCCTGGAGCACATCCCAGCTCCCTTCATATAAAACACAGCTGGAAAAGGCTCGGGGCACAGCTGCTCATCCCAAACGACAAAGGGCATCTGCTCTTCATGCCTTCTCTCCTCTCTAACACGAAATGGGGCAAGTTTCTCACCTTCAAGAAAGACTCTAGGAGGCTTTTTCTGGCTTCCACTTTATCGCTGTCCATGTTTCCGAATGGGAGATCCGGGAACAGTTTCTTCGGGCCTTTGATATCTGCAAGGGAAACACACCCCTAGTCAAAATACTGGTTTCTTTAAGCTTTGCTGCATGCAAACATCACATTTGCAAATTACAGTGTCCTGGTGTTTCGTTCACTAGCAAAGCTGCAAAACTGCAAAAGCAAGTGGTATGATCTGAATGGGAGCCGGGATTTCTTTGGGAGCACTGGAATTGGCTGCTGATGAGGAAATGCTCTCCAGAACAGCTCTCCAGAATGCAGAATTATCATCGCTGATAATTCTGCATAGGAAAGGATACCCGCAAAGCAGGAAATCCCTAATCCCGTTGCTCCAGGAAGGGCAATGCTTTATCATATCCAGGTCTCCTTGCATCCAGAGGATGTGCACATGGACACGAGGACACCTATGACAAGCGGCAGTGGGTAGGGGATTGAGGAGGGCAGGGATTTACAAGGCAGGCAGCAGTGCCACTGACTTTTGAGGAATTTGCGCAGCTCCGGCTTCTCCTCCAGGCGCGTCTGGAGGTTGAGGAACTCGCGGTAGCGGCGGTTCACGGTGTGATAGGCCATTTGCTGGAGACCTCCTGCCCCTTCGCCCTCCAGGGCCGTCTCGTACTGAGGAGGAGAAAGAGGAACAGTTAGGAGTCCCTACAGACCCCAAAAATACCACATCAGCAGATCAGAGCCATCCCTCCCTCACAAAGAGGGACCCCATATCCCAGATCCCACCGCAAAATCATCCCAATCAAGGGTCCCCCATGGCCAGCCAAGAACGTTGGCCAAGCAACGCATGGAGAAATCCCCGTTCCTAACCCATTTCCAGCATGAATTACGGATCGCCAAGGGAAAAGCAGCGGGCACCTTGACGGTGTAGAGGGTGTAGGGGTGGAAGCCGGTGCCGCTGTGCTCGCGGGCCGTGATGGTGCCCGTGATGCGCAGGTTCTGGATGAGCACGGGCCCCTCGGGGCTGCCGAGCGGCTCGAAGCTGAAGGCGCCGCCGGGCGCCGCCGGGAGCAGGGGCAGCGGCGCGGCCGCCTCGGGGGCACCCGGCACCTCCGGGGGCCCCAGCTCCTTGCCCAGGCACGAGGGCCGCTGCGGGACGGGCCTCCCGGGCGAGGCCGAGCCCTCGTCCTCCTGCTCCGCCGCCGCCTCGATGAGGATGTCGGGGCAGGTGCCCGGCCCCGGCTCGGCCGCCTCCTCCGTGTCGCCGTCCTCGGCGAGCGGCTCCTCCGGCGCGGGAGACGCCAAGTCCTCGCAGGGGAACAGGGAGCCCAGCGCGGGGCCGCCCTTCCTCTCCTCTTCCTCCTTCTCCTCCAAAGCGCCGCCGCGCTCGCCGGCATCGCCTCCATCGCCTGCGTGCGCCTCGGGCGCCCGTGACGAGGCCGGAGGCGGCGCTTTGGGGACACCCACGGGCGCGCGGCGCCCCTTCCTGCCCAGCGCGGCCGCGAGCATCACGTTGATGCAGTCGGGGTCGGCGGCCCGGCGCAGGGCGGGCAGCAGCACGTTGCAGGCGACCAGCTCGACCACCACGAAGCGGCCCGTGCGCGTCTCCAGGTGCGGCGGCGGCACCAGCGCCCGCAGCAGCCGCTCCGTG